TGTGTGGCGGACATTTGTGTGAGTCTGTTCGTGGCACTGGTCCAGTACTACGAGAGACTGGTCAATGCCTGGCACCTTGGACTCATCCTCTGCAAACTGAGGGAGTTCGTGGCAGAGTTCACTCCCCAGACCAGCATCGTCATCATGATGGAGATCGCCATCGAACGGTCAGCATTTTGGTTTTTCAAAATGTTCCTGTTCAATTTTTGTGTTAAAGATTTTGAACTCTGTTTATTCTAGCAGTTCAATTTTTAAAACTTTTTTGGTAACGTATATTGCATTTGTGAACTAATTGTACTTCATCTTCTTATCAATTGAAGAACTTTCTGAAGAATATTGAAAAAATATATATATTTCTAGAAAATTAGGTAGAAGTATATCTGGGGCTTCGAGGTATTTTTGAAATTATAGTTATACAAGAAAACTTTTAGAAAATCTTTTACAGACAAATCTATTCAAAATTGGCGCGCGCAAAGTTGACAGCAAAATTGTGCAGCAATTTTGATTCTTTGTTTTTTTAAAAGTAGAAATGTCGTTAATTATAACCCTTGTCTGTCTGTCTTTAATTTAACAATCTTTCTGTAGCTGAAAATCTAAATTTCACGTAAGCGTAGCAGAGCCTTACACCGCTAGCAAAACAGAACAAGACTGCCCGTATCAGGGCGAAGCCCTGAATTTTTCGACTGCCTTTTAAGGTTTATGGAGCAGCAGTAATAACAGCAGTTTGAAACTTTTTATGAAAATCATCCCCCCACATGTCATATAAAGTATAAAAAGACAGATTTCGCTCCTTGTTACAAATCAATTATGGCAAATAAGCTTCGTTCAACCAATTTGGAACGATTTATACGACGGATTAACTCTCCGCTTACGCGTTAATATCGCGAAATATATCGCGCGTTAATTGTCCCAAGTTGGCCAAAATGACAATCTTTAAACCCCGTAACTTTATGAAAAAACGATCACAGGTGAAATATCTTTTCAAATTTGAGCTCAGGGCAACAATACCTCTCGAATGACATTAAAAAATTCCGTCAAAAATGGCTAGTTTAAAAGTCGAAATTTGTCTGAAGAAAAAAAACCCACCACGAGCACAAATATTCCGTTACTTTCGTACCGAAATTCGGAACAAAAATCAGCCGTAACCAATAAAGGCTGTTTTCTTGATAGCAATGTTTTTATAGATTACCTAGCCAATTATGTTCGTACTTTTTGTACAGAAATGATCTATTTCTTTCTCAAGTCAGAAATAAACAATTTCTGGAAAGAAATAACCAAAAATAAGTCCATTGCCCAACAGCAACAAGATAAACATGCTTCGAGTTTACAAAAAAAAGCCGTAGCAATACAATGCAAATTAACTCTTCTTAGATCAAGTGTTGTTTTGCATTAGATTGCTAAAACTACCCGACAGCATCAGGTTAGCACAATCACCGCCTATAAAATGGCAGGTCGCAAGTTCGAGACCCAGCTGGAGACTTTTTTTATGGTTTCTATTTAGCTAATTTCTGATCAGAAATAATATGGGAAACAAAGAACTTTATGAAAATCACTGCTGTATTTTAGTATTTCACAAACAATTTCTGGCCAGAAAATTTTTTTAGATATAGGTTTTCCAGGTCAGAATTAAAGGATTTTCTCGATACGGGCAGCAATAGCAAAAATGAAAAAAAAACAGCATGTACATCAGACAGGGGCGTTCAATAGTGCCGAAGCTGAAACTCAATTCTGCCCTCCAAAAAAAAATAACTGAAAGTTCTGAGTTCCTTTTGAGAGTTTTTGGCAATTTTGCGTGATTAAGTTTTCGGGCGAAAGTTTGGCAATTGCTGAAATGATCTTTGGTCAACGAAATTATGATGCTTGAATAACTTTGGTTTTTCATCTTTCACTAATTTTGAGCTCAAGTATTTGCCTCTGATTTAGATTGTGGGAACAAGTTAACATACCAGAGCGATTAGAGGGAGATGCTAGATTGGTGCTACGCGGGATTTTTCAGCCAAACAGGCTCGAGCCTTTTTAAACGTTACGCTGACCAATACTTAAACAAAAATTATAAAATTGCGGAGAAAACTCATAACTTGGTCTATTTATGAGAAGGATGTTAACTTGACTCTGGTTGAGTATAAACAGTATCTAAAAAAACTGTTGGCATAAACCAACCACTAAAATTGTTGAAACTCGGAAACTGCTATGCCTATGATAAGCATAAAATATAAGTTATTCAGACGGAAGATTGAAAAATAAATGAACAAACAAAAAAGAATTTAATTGGTTAAAATGAGTTTCTTGTGCATAACAAATAAAATAATAATTGTAATGAAACTAATCTATTGCAATCAAAAAAAATTTCAACGAAAAAAATTGTTTTATTAATCAATTTTTTCTATTGAAATGTTTTTAATTGATTATAAATTGTTTTCAAAGAGAGAGAGAGAGAGAGAGAGAGGAGGAGGAGAGAAAGAGAGAGAGAGAGAGAGAGAGAGAGGAGAAGGAGAGAGAGAGAGAGAGAGAGAGAGAGAGAGAGAGAGAGATTATTATCAACTATTAATTGCATTAATTGGTTAAAATAGGTTTTTCTCAATTATAATGAGAATCAGAAAAAAAAATCGATAATGAATTCTTGAAGTTGGTTACAGGTATGGTATTCAGTGTTCTCAATAAATAGAACTTTCTCCTTTGTTTCATCCAAATAGCTGAACAGAAAACAACAGAAAACAGAGACTCGGCTCTAGCGAAAACTGACATTTCTGCTGATTAGTCAGCTCTCAGCTCCTGAAGAATTGTCAGTTTTGGAAGCAAGGCAGAACTGTTTTCATCAAAACTCAGCTAGACACATTGTGCGTTGTTTCATCAATTTTAAACCGACAAAAGATTGGCTGTAAGAGTTATCAAATTAAAGTGAAAACACAATTAAAATTGAAAAAACTCAACAGTAATTTGAAATTTTTTTTATGAAAATCATCCACCCACACGCCAAATAAAGTACAAAAAGATAGATTTCGTTCCATGTAACAAATCAATTACGGCAAATAAGCTTCGTTCAACCAATTTGGAACGTTTTATAAGACCGATTAAATCTCGCTTACGCGTTAATAGCGCGAATTATATTGCGCGTTAATTGTCCCAAATTGGCCAAAATGGCAATATTTAAACCCCCATAGTTTTACGATAAAAGATCACAGGAGAAACATGTTTTCAAATTAAAGCTCATGACAACAATACTTTTTGAATGACATAAAAAAATTCTGTCAAAAATGGCTAGTTAAAAGTTCGAAATTTGTCTGAAGAAAAAAAAACCCACCCCGAGCACAAATATTCCGTTACTTTCGTATCGAAAGTCGGAACAATAATGTGTTTCGTCATATACAGCCAGGTCACTATAGTTTAATTGTTAATTCAAGTAGTTTAGTTTACTATGATCAAAAGATCAACTCGACGCTAAGTTAAATGCTTCAGTTAAATGCTTCTAACGGAATATTTGTGCTCGGGGTGGATTTTTTTTTCTTCAGACAAATTTCGACTTTTTAACTAGCCATTTTTGACGGAATTTTTTATATCATTCGAAATAAATTGTTGTCTTGAGCTCAATTTGAAAAGATATTTCACCTGTGATCATTTTTCGTAAAGTTATGGTGGTTTAAAGGTTGCCATTTTGGTCAATTTGAGACAATTAACGCGCGATATATTTTGCGCTATTAACGCGTAAGCGGAGAGTTAATCCGTCTTAGAAATCGTTCCAAATTGATTTAACGAAGCTTATTTGCCATAATTGATTTGTTACAAGGAGCGAAATTTATCCTTTTGTACTTATTATGGCGTGTGGGGGGATGATTTTCATAAAAAAATTCAAATTTCAGAAAAAAAAATTTCATTTTGTTTTATTTCGTTCAATTTCTTAAATGTTATTACTGCCCCATAAACATTAAAAGGCGGTCGGAACAATAAGGGCTTCGCCCTGATACGAGCAGTCTTGTTTTGTTTTGTGTATATTCATGTCTACCATTTATAAAACTTTGTCGTTTTATTGAGGTAATTTTCCTATAATGTAGCTCCTTGTGTTCCACTTTCTGCTAAAAAAAATTGATGCACACAAAAGTCTTGATCGAGTCTCTAATGCGTTTAGCCGATCCCAGTTTTTTTTTGTTTTTTTCTAGATCGAGGGTTCAACTGAATGAAATAAAGTTGAAGTAGTTATAGCTAAATTAAAAAAACATGCAGTAGCCCTAAGTAAAAAGTTCATTCCCAAATAAAAAAATCCAACAAAACACAAAACAAAGGTTAAATAATAGAACGAGGCGGTTGCAACTAATGGCTCAAGAAGAAATCTTGCTTAAAAGCAATACAGCTGTGTCGCTTTTTTGAGTTAAAGAAACAAAATTGTTAACATAATCTTTCAGCCAAACTTCGAACATCTCTTAATGTGTTTTTTTTTAAACAATTGTTAGTTTTAGAAAACGACCTATGCTGATTATTATTATAACCAAGCCATATAACCAAGCCCTAAGGGCGCTTTGTCCTTCATTATTAAATCAGTGCGTCTTTTGGGAGAAACTGGTTTATTCAAATTGTCTATCTTTTCTCTAATGGGAACTTTACTTTATATATATTTTGGCCATCGGAGAGGAATATTTCTCAATGAAATCCCACAGGACCTTCATCTGTCCGACCCTCCCCTTATGGTCCTATTTTAATCAATCCAGTTTTGGTCGGCCAACCATAACACTTTAACAATTCATCTTCACCTGCGACGTCACAATATTTTGAACTTGAGAATAGACGCTGCAAGAAAATGCGACTTGATTGTCAACAATGAGCAAAAGTGCGCCACAATTTTTCAAAAATTTGTCCGCGAATTGGAACTTTCCAATGTTTTGCGAGAGCTAATAAAAGAACTTTTGTTAACCTACCAAAAATTTAATTGGAAGCTGCGAATAATTAAAAAGGTCTACAAGCGCTGCACCAATATTTAGATATACAAATTTTTAAAGAAACAAAACTGCTCGTATCAGGGCGAAGCCCTGAATGTTCCGACTGCCCATTAAGGTTTATGGAGCAGTAATATCATTAAAAAATTAAAAGTAATAAAACAAAATGAAATTTTTTTTTCAAAAATTTGAAATGTTTTTTTTTTTATAAAAATCATCCCCCCACACGCCATATAAAGTAC